CTACATTATGATTAAAAAGGCAAAGGTTAAAGACAAAAAGAGAAACTTTTAAAAATCTTTTTTTATTGATTTCAGAACGGAAGAAAGAGGGAGAGAGAGAAAAACATCAATGGTGAGAGAATCATTGATCAGCTGCCTCCTGTATGCCCCACACTGGGGATCGAGCCCACAACCGGGCATGTGCCCTCACCAGGAATCAAACCATGACCTCATGTTCATAGGTCAACTCAACTACTGAGCCACACCGGCTGGGCTTTAAATATTTATAGCTGAGTACCTTGGATGTGTAAATGTGTGACTTTCAGCAAATTTGTGAAATGGTCAGCTATCTAATTGTTCAAATCTGGGTTTTTTCTTCATTGACATCATTCTCCTTTGATGGGAGATCAATAACATAAATTGTCATACAGGTCCCCGAGTCTGTCTGTGTCCATGTTGAAATCTGGATTGCCTCCCATGCAGGTGCTTGCCCAGTGCTGGAGACCAAATTCCCAGTGTGAGGGAGGAGCTCTACTCAGGGGTGGAGGGGCTCAGAAAAGGCAGCAATGACTCAGAGGTTTCGAAGGAGAGCCATGAAGAAACAGATGGTGCTGACCTACAGAAACAGGAAGCCAGTGAAGGGAAGTGTGTGGGCAAAGAAAGTCCACAGTCCCAGTGGGGCCCTGCTTTCCTCTAAAAAATGGAGAACAGTCTTCTCAGAATCTCCCAGGCCTCCCTCTCCCCTGGGGTGTCCTCCCTGGGATGGCCCCACTGGCTCCTCCAGGCACCAAGGAGAGTGGAGCAGCCTTCACTTCCTCATTAGAGCACTTCACATCGACCATCAGCTCACTCCATGTGCCCCATTGAGCCCTTCTGAGCAGTGCCCCCCACTCGCCACAGACTCAAGATGATTCATCTGTGTTATCCAATCAGCCTCCTTCCTGGTCCTCCAACCCAGGCCCCACCCCATCTGCAGGTCTCTCCTCTCCCCACCTCCTGAGGACCCTTCCTATAACCCTATCTGGTCTGAGCCAGCCTGCTGCACCCCCTCCACCAGTTTCCACCTTCAAAAGAGATCCAAGTTGCACATCTGACATTCAAGGCTGTGAATGGTCAGGTTGAGCTAAACACACCAGCCCCAGCAAACAGGACTCTCCCTCCACAACCCAACTCACCCAGTTACCCACACTCCCCTCCACACCAAACCACACGCAGAAACTGAGCTGTTTAGAAATTCTGTGCCTTCCTCTGCTGCTCCCTTAGCCAATGGGAACCTAGCCACCTCCTCTCCAACCTGCTGGACCAAGCCTGTCCTGCCTCATCCCACTCAACTGAAAATGTACTTTCTGTTACAGGTTTGTGTAAGAGTTATACGCAGAAACCACATGAATGACTTAAAATACTGACCAGCACGCCCTCCCAGAGCGAGGTGAACGTTGGAGTTTTATTACTAATGGAGTGAATTTTCAGCAGAGCCGGCCTGCATAACATCTTCACATAGTGGTAGCCTTTAAAAACCGAAATATCTTCGTTCAACCTGTCGCTAAAAATTTTTCCCATTGACTTCAAGAATATATTCCAAATATTTGCATGGTGCACTAGCCCTTGTGTGACCAGCCTGCGCCTTCACCTGACTGCTCTCATTTCTGAGGACAGCTCCAGATCTTTCTGGTCCGATCCTCTGGGCTTCTCCCTGCGCATGCCTTGGGTCGGTCCATCCCCAAGAAGGACCCCTTCAGCCAGGACCCAGGTTGCATGGCCTCTACCAGTTATTGAACCTCACTGTCTCATTTCCTTTATTCTCCCAATGTGTACACGAGACTGTAACTGAACTGTCTGCCGTCTAAATGTCTGTAACATCTGCTTCATTCATCTCAGCCCCAGGAGTCCAGGGAAGGGATCCCTGAGCTTCAGCTACGACTCTCTAGAGCAGTGGTTCTCAACCTGTGGGTCGCGACCCTTTTGGCGGTCGAACGACCCTTTCACAGGAGTCGCCTAAGACCATCCTGCATATCAGATATTTACATGACGATTCATAACAGTAGCAACATGACAGTTATAAGGTAGCAACGAAAATAATTTTATGGTTGGGTCACAACATGAGGCACTGTATTTAAAGGGCCAGAAAGTTGAGAACCACTGCTCTAGAGCCTGGCCAGTGACAGCCCAGGGTCACTGCTCAGTACGTACTTCCTCATTGCCTGGCCAGTGAGAGAAGGGAAGAACAATTGCATTTACAGAGGCTCAGGAAAGGGAAGTGTCTTACACAAGCTCACAGAGGTTCTAGAAAAGGCAGAGTCAGAACTGGGCCAGAAATTGGGTGGGGTCCTCTCCTGCCCTGTTCCTCCGCCCTCCTCACCTGGGCCGGCTGTCACCGTCTGGATTTGGGTTTGGCATGAGGTGGAGGCAGAGCGTGTGGGGTCTGGTGAGACTCAGGTCAGTCTCAGAGGTCCCACAGCTTGCTGTCCCCTAGGGCCTGCCCTTCAGGGAGGGGCTACTTCCCTTCCTGTGAGTTCACTGATGAGGAACCAGTGACATGTCACATGAAGCCTGGACCCTGTCACACCCCATTCTCCTATCCTGGGAGGCTCTGTGGAGTTTACACATCGTCTGCACACTGGGAACCATGGAAGGACGATCCATGACTTCTACCCTCACTGCCCTTCTCTGCCTCAGTGAGTTCCGGGGAAAGGAGGTGGGATGGGGTCCCCTCCCCTCCCAGGTCCTGGCCTTTCAAGAATCCAGGACTCAGGAGGCTCAGTGGGGACAGGACTTTGTGGGGAGGAGACATGCTCAGCCCCAGGTCTGCCCCCAGTGCTCAGGGACCCAGACCAGGCCTGGAGCTTCTGTGTCGGTTGGGGACAGTTCTCACAGGGACTCTCTTCCAGGGCTGTGTCAGGGCCTGTGGGACCAGGTCCAGGCAGGTGAGTCTCCCCCCCCCCCACCACCCCCTGTCCTCCTGCTTCAGCACAGTCCCCCCTAGGCAGCTGGGGAGACACAGGGTTGGAATAGTGGTGACCAAACTGGGAGGGGCCTGGGAGTGACAGCTGGAGAAGGTGGGGAGAAGGACGACCCTGACATTTCAGCTCTGATTCCTTTCCAGGAGACGTCCCCAAACCCTCCATCTGGGCTGACCCAGGCCCCATTGTCACCAACGGGAGCTCTGTGACCATCTGGTGTCAGGGGTCTCTGCAGGCTAGTGCCTACCTTCTGTATAAAGAGAGGGGCTCTGAGCCCTGGGAAACCAAGATCCCACAGGACTCCAGCAATAAGGCCGGTTTCCTCATTGGAGCCACGGCCCCAGCCCACGCAGGGCTGTACCAGTGTGCATATTACAGCACTGGGGACATACTCTCTGAGCGGAGTATCCCCCTGCTCCTGGTGGTGACAGGTAAGGGAGACACCGGGTCCCCTCCCCACTGTGGGCTCCAGGTCACAGGCAGAGGGAATAAAGTGTGGGCTCAGGGGGACCCCATCCCTCACAGAACACACCTGGGGCATGAGGGTGACGGTCCCTTTTCTCCTCCCTCAGGAGTGGGCGGTGCACCCTCCCTCTCAGCCCAGCCAAGCCCTGTGGTGGCCTCAGGAGAGAACGTGTCCCTCTCCTGTACCTCTAACCTCACATCGGGCCCTTTCCATCTGCTGAAGGAGGGAGGGGCTGACCTGCCCCGACACATGGAAGCAGAACCCAGGATGCATGCTGGGAGGTGGCGGGCCATCTTCCCTCTAGGCCCTGTGAGCACCTCCCATGGGGGGACCTACAGATGCTATGGTTCTTCCAGCTCCTACTCCAACGTGTGGTCACCACCCAGCGACCCCCTGGAGCTGGTGGTCTCAGGTGAGTAGCCCCAGCCCCGCCCCCATGTCCCCAGGTCAGTTCAGGGCCCTGTCCCCAGGGAACCTTGGCTGCAATGGGCTGAGGGAGTACCCGGTGGAGGGCCACCCAGAGGGAACTCTGAACTCCCAGAGGGATGGAAAAAGCCAGACTGCTCCCATCCCTCCTCATCCTCATCCTCATCCTCCCTGAGGCCCAGACATGCTCCCGTGGGCAGAGGGTGGCTGGAGAGGATGGGGCTGACCAGAAGGAGAAAGGCCAGAGGCACCCATCCCGACCCTCCAGTCCCCAGTCCTGTGGCCTCAGCCAGAGAGACCAAGACAGGAGTGTGACCAGCAGAGGCCGGATCCCCAGAGAGAGCAGGACCCCCCTGCTGGGGCTTGGCCTGTCTCCCAGAGAGGTTGGGGGGCAGAGACGCTTGGGGCACCAGGGCTCTGAGGCTGACAGGTAGGTAGTCATGGCAGAGGGAGATGCTGGGGGACCACCAGGGGAGGAGCAGCCCCCACCCCCCACCTCCCATCCTGATTGAGGAGCCTCTGAGGATTGGTCCCCCAACGGGAAGTCAGGCCCCCAGAGGACTCAGTGAGGGTCTGGGGGGAGGTGGTGGGTGGGAGGAGCTCAGTGTTGGTCTTGGCTCAGCCACTTCCTGGGTCATGGCTTGAGGAAAGTTCCTCCTCCTCACTGGGACCAAGTTCTCCAAAGGCTGAATATTTAGTGTGCCCGTGTCTGTGTGTGCATATGTATGTATGTGTATATATACAGTGGGACCTTGACTTACGAGTTTAATTCGTTCCGTGACGGAGCTCATAACTCAAATTACTTGTATGTCAAATCACTGTGACGTTCCCTGCGCCAACTAGCGGTGGGGTATCTGAAGCTGGCTTGTAACCCGAATTTTAGCTCGCAACTCAACTCAAAGCAAAAAACTGGCTGAGAGACAGCTTGTATCTCGAAAAACTCGTTAGTCGGGACACTCATAAGTCAAGGCCCCACTATACGTGTGTGTGTGTGTGTGTGTGTGTGTGTGTGTGTGTGTGTGTGTTGGGGACTCAAGTGGTGTCTGAAGCTCCTCCACAGCCTTCCAAAGAGCAGCCATGGAGTCAGGAGGAGAAGCCTGAGCCCTGGTTCAAATCCCAGCTCTGCTCCTTCCCGCCTGTGGGACCTTGGACACGTCTGTTCCTCCGAGTCCTGGTCCATGGGCTGTGGGTCAGGCCCCCACCTCCCTCACAGGGAAGGCCCTCAGTACACAGCCCTGCCCAGTTAGAGCTCAGGAAGGACCCAGCCCCTCCCTCCTGCCCTTTCCGGAGGCGCCCCACATGCACAGGCTCCACTGTGGGTTGGGGTCAGGCTGCAGAGTGAGACAGGGATCTGGGGTAGAGAGGGGTGGTGACTGGGTTTGGTAACAGGTCTCTGCACTGGTGTTCTACTGGGAAGGACAGAGACAGCATAAGTAATAACAACAACAACACGTAAGGAAATTCAGAGTCCTGGGTTCCAGTCCCAGCCCTGCCCCATCCAGGCTGGGTGACCCGGGGCACGTGACTAACCTCTCTGAGCCTCAGCGAAATGTGTGAGGTCAGCAATCCCTGGTGGATGACTGTTGTGAGGGTAAAATTAGTGACAGACCCCCAGCAAGTGCCTTGCACACAGTAGGTGCTCATTAAATTGCATCACTGGCTCATTCATGATGTCACTCATGTTCAAGGTCTCAAATGGTACCTGATTGTCCTGATCGGGGTCTCAGTGGCCCTGGTCCTACTGCTCTCGCTCTTCTTCCTCCTCCTCCGACACCAGCGGCGTCAGAGCAAAGGCAGGACGTCAGGTGAGTAAGGATGACCTGGGTCACAGAAGAGGTGGGGGGCTTAGGGTGCCAGCCAGAGTGAAACCAAATAGATGGGGAAGGTCAATGGTAAAGTCTCCTCCAGCGTTTCCCAAGGGAGATTAAACGTGGATGTGTAAGTAAGTAGTCTCGAGTATTCTTTTGGCTTTTTCAGCTTTATCAGGTGTGTGGGAACGTGTGCAAGTTTTGTTTTTTATCACTTAGAATGGCTTCCTCTTCATTTTTTTAAAATATATTTTATTGATTCTTTACCAAGAGGAAGGGAGAGGGATAGAGAGTTAGAAACATCGATGAGAGAGAAACATCCATCAGCTGCCTCCTGCACACCCCCTACTGGGGATGTGCCCGCAACCAAAGTACATGCCCTTGACCGGAATTGAACCTGGGACCCTTCAGTCCTCAGGCAGACGCTCTATCCACTGAGCCACACCGGTTAGGGGCTTTCTCTTCATTGTGAGGAGGTGTGATGGGTTGTGACCTTCTCAGTTGTTAGGTCCTCTGCTCATCTTAGTGCAGGCCCAGGGGAGGGCTCTTGGGGGCTGGAGGCTGACCCCACCTTCCCGCAATGGCTGCATCAGAGCAAGAAGACAGAGGCCTGCAGAAGAGGTGCGCCCTCTCCCTAAAAACCCAAGCCCCACCCGTCCGGTCCAAGGCCCCCTCTCAGCCCCCTAATGCTCTGTCTCCTCCCCCAGCTCCCGCCCAGCTGCTGAGGTCCAGGAAGAGCGTTTGTGTAATAGAAAGCAGCTGGAGGGGCAGGTCCAGGGAACATGGATGGGCTGTGGAGACTGGGGATCGGTTGGAAATGCTTCTGGGCTTGGTGATGAGACAGCTAGAAGCTCCTACTGTGTGACCTTGGCCACGTCACTGAGCCTCTGCCAGGTGAGATCTCAGGGAATCTTGGCAAGAGATGAGATGGTCTTGTTCTGTCCCCACTAGATGCTGTCGCAAAAGACACACAGCCTGAGCGGGACAGAAAACTGGACAGTCAGGTGAGCTCCATCTGGCCCTGAGCACACTTGTAGGGTTCACACACTACATCCAGTGAACGCAGGGGCAGTCTGAGCCCCACACAAGGGGCTGAAACCCAAGCTCTGGGCCTGCAGAGGATGTTTCTAAAACCCACACACAGGGTCCTAAAGCCTCCCTCAGCCCTCGCTGGGTCCATCCTCCTGCCTGGCCCAGGAGCCACACCAGTGCCAACAGGCTCTGTACATGGCAGGCTCCCTCAGCTCACCCTAGGGCAGTGATGGCGAACCTTTTGAGCTGGGCGTGTCAGCATTTTGAAAAACCCTAACTTAACTCTGGTGCCGTGTCACATATAGAAATTTTTTGATATTTGCAACTATAGTAAAACAAAGACTTATATTTTTGATACTTATTTTATATATTTAAATGCCATTGAACCAAGAAAAATCAACCAAAAAAATGAGTTCACGTGTCACCTCTGACACACGTGTCATAGGTTCGCCATCACTGCCCTAGGGAATGGATGGCACTCCGTTGAGGGCAGCAGTGGGGTCTGTCCCCCCATGGTGACGGCTCCACGCCCAATTCCTGTCTCCCCAGCACCAGACTCACACCTCCAACCTTCCAACCTCACATCCCTCCTCCCCTAGACCCCCAAAGACACGGTGACTGGTGCAGGACAAGACTAGAGCCAAGGAGACCACCCCTCACTGTGTCCAGCAGAGCCCTGGCCACTAAGGCCCCAGGACTGTGTCCTTTCCTCCCTGGCCTCAGGCTCCCCCACCCCAACCACGTGTCTTCATTCTCCCCACCACAGGCTGCGGCACCTGAAGACCCCCAGGATGTGACCTACGCCCAGCTCAAGCCCTTGACCCTCAGCCAGGAGTCAAGTGCACCCCCTTCCTCCCCATCAGAGGAGCCCCGAGAAGAGCCCAGCTTGTATGCTTCTCTGGCCATGCACTAGCCCAGCAAAGACCCAGACCCCACACTCCAGGGAGGTCCCTGCAGGGACCCTAAAAGGCGTGAAAGCTGCCGCCATGGACACTCAGGTAGTGACCCCTGCCAGCCTGGAGACCTGACGTGCCCCCAGCAGCTCCTGGGACCTTTTGGAAGTTAAGTGCTTCCAGGAACTGCATCGTTACTCAGCTGACTTACAGACCCCGCCACAGGGACCCCGCTGACTGCAAGGATCCCAGGGAACTGCCATCGAGGCAGTAAGTATGCAAGTGGCAACCTCGGGCTGAGGGAGGGCCTACTGCCCGGCCACTGTCACTGTGCACTTGACTGAGCCCAAAAGTTCCCAGACGGGGACCAACCACAGGACGCAAGGTGGCTGCACCACTGAGGGGTTGCTCAACTTCGTGTTCTTCATTTCCCAAGACTCAGCCACTTCCTCCCCTGTCTGAGAAAGCGTCTCAGCCAGGAAAAGGGAAGCCTGCTCCCTCCTGACCACTTCTTCATCCCCCAGACCCAGGGGGAGGGGCGCTACTCCATGGCCACTAACCATTCCCCACTTCACTTAAATCTCAAGACAGAACTGGGAATCCACCCATCAACCATCCTGTAACCAGCTGTGAAATGAGCCTGTAGATCTTGTCAATTAAAACTCATCAGCAAACCAAGGTGGATGGATCCAGATCAGCTCTCAGCTCCCACCTGCCCCCCCTCACCCAGACTTCTTGCCAGGGACCAGGGTCAAAAGCTGTAAGTGGGAGCTGACCCGACCTCCACTTGCTACTTCCTCTACATCAGTGGTTCCCAAACTTATTTGGCCTACCGCCCCCTTTCCAGAAAAAATATTACTCAGCCCCTGGAAATTAATTTTTAAAATTTTAATAGCAGTTACTCAATCGTCCCCAAATGC